CCTTGAGATAATGAGTCTCACAAATATACGCACGCACCAAGTAGCTGGCCTAGTTGCCAAGAAGGGGTGGAATAGAGGAAAGAGTTCAAGTCTTTGCTTGGGCTCCCCAATCAGAAGGATCAACCCCGCCAGTTTGGGTGGTTCTGCAAATAGGGAAGAAATGGATTTGCATTGTCCCCTTCCCCCCAACAAAATTCAGGACCTTAGTGTGCTATAGATCCCCAGTTCAAGCTCCAGTTCATTTTCACAGGAGAGCATTCTCCTTGGAACTTTGTGGCACTGTTGACAACCTGCCACCCTTCAAAGTAGACAAGGTCAAGAAACAGGCATGGCAGAGATTCCAGGAATGTACTTCATTGCCGTAGGGTAGAAAAACAGAATCTTGAAAGCCTGTCAGAGTTTCTCTCTTCCCCATCTTACACCAAACCCAAGCATGGCAAAGTAATTCTGTGTTTCTTTCTCATGCTTTCTTCATTCTTAGGACTGTACCTTCTTTTCTGAAAGCTCCCCCCTCCCCCACACTGGTTTGTTCCTTCCTTTCCCATTTCCAAAGCTGGGCCTATAGCCAGAGTAGAGAAGTATATAGACGAATGTTTTGATGTACCTACAAACCAAGGGTTGATGTTTCTTTAGCCATGGAAAGCTGTGTATAAAGGTTAGCCCATCGGACAAATTAAAAACAAAATTAAATCCAAGTCCCTACCTAGTGGCAGAACTTCCTAGATGACACAAACCAAGCTTATTTATCTTCAGGTCTCTAAAGAATAAAGATGACTTGAGTGACTATGATTGTTTGAGGAAGGGAAGAATAAAGAAAACAAACAACAGTTACCTTGCAAGGAAACCTCTTTCAACTCAAGTAGACTTCTCCTGCATGGGAAACTTTCCTGTTGAATTCTTGCTTGCAAGGCAGCTCGCTTCTCTGCTGGAGTTCACTTGTCATGGCTGGTGCGCCAGCATTCCTCATCATCACAGGAAAGGCCGAGGAGAGGCGATAAAAACTCTCCCTTTCACGTGGCGCGGTGTTGGTGGGGAAGGTTGGGATCACCCAGACGGAAGGCTCCATGTTTCCTTCCTGTGGACCAGCCCAGCACAAGCTGCTGGCTGCCCCAGTAGCTGGGTCAAGCTGTTGGAACAATGACTACTTTCCTGTCTGAAGGACCAAAACCTCTGAGAAAACCAAGTCGCAGGTCTTGGCTGGCGTAGACATTCCAAAGGATGAGTGCTTTATCCATTTCCTTCCTCCTGTTCTCCAGGGCCTTAAAACCTGGTGTGTAAGGCCCTTGGAAGGGAAAAGATGACACTTGTTGTGCTGCTAAGCACTCACACAGCACATGGGCCCACACCATCAGCCAACCAAATACACAGCCGCAGACCAGCCTCAAGCTACAAAAGAGAAAGGCAGGGTAATTCTCAGTGGCCAGACTCTTAAAGACCAGGCAGACAATTCAAATCAACTTCCTTCCTATGATCTTCCTGACCAGCACTGCCCCACTGAAAAGCAGATTTCAAATCCCTTTGACTCTTGGATTCCCCAAAAGACTTTTTTTTTTTTTTGCACATCCTCTCAGTTGTACAGGCATCCGTGTCTCATTGCGCACCCGCAAAATGCTGTTTGGTGATTCTTTACATTAACGGTTATTTTAAAATCATCATCATCATCATCATCATCATCATCATCATCGATAGGTGGATAAAAATGCCAAATCCAGTCTAAACATCTGGCTGACTGTGCGACCAGCAATAATAATACCAGCAGATTTCTGCAGTTACACCAATCATGATTGGCGCCCTTGGAGCAATACTTAAAGGACTCCTTCAATATTTGGAAATCTTGAATTTATTGGACCTGAACATGCTACTTTTACAAAAGACCTGTTAGGAACTGCCTGTATCCTCAGGCGCTACCTTAATAATTCTTAGGTCCTTGGTTAGGACTTGAATTATGAAGTTTCCACTAGTCTTTGACTGTGAATCTAACTGTAGATTAATAATAATAATAATAATAATAATAATAATA